TGGTAGAAAATAGAGCTGAAGTATAAGAATCTTTAACACAATTAAGTATAAATGAATTTATTAATTTTAATTAATACTATAATTGATATTATTTTTGAAATAGTAATTTTTTTTGTTTTTATAATTAATGTAATAATGAATAATTAATTTAATAAATGAAATCTAGTAAATATATATAACAAAATATGAATTTGATAATAAAACAAAATAATGTAATGAAATGCAAATTTAATAAATAATGTAATAAATTATGAATTTAATAAATATAATGAATCTAATAAGTTATGAATCTAATAAATTAATATTAATATAAGTAAATTATAATTCAAATTTTAAAAAAAAAAAATACTAAATTGTATTAAAAATAGCAGAAAATTATTCATAATATTAGAAAACTTTGATTTATTAAAATTCTTACTTATTTTTGACATCCTAGGTCATTTAACATCTTCTTTTTTCTATTACAATCATATAAAACAAATAAAATACAATAGCAAATTAATGTTATCTTTGAAACTTTTATTATAACCTTAATGTTATAGAGTTAAAATTCATAGAACTAATATCACGTGACATTATAAAGAAACTTAAAAAAACATTTGGCTAAATAAAAGATTAACAGATAAATATTTAACTGAAAAACTAAGATATAGAATATAAGTAAATTACTTGCCAAAAGAAAAAGAATAAATTACTTACCAAAAGAAAAAAGGATAAATTACTTACCAAAGAAAAAAGGATAAATTACTTACTAAAGAAAAAAGATAAATAATATACCGAAGTTACAAGAAAAGAAATATTAAAGAAGATTTTATGAACTGAGGTCTTAAAAATACTTGTGTAACTTAAATTACCAAATAAGAAAATTATTAATTATTTGTGTAATCTAAGTTACCAAAAAGAAAGCTTATATAACCTTTATTCTAAAAGAGGAAATTATTAGAAATAAAAGAAAGTAGATAATAATATACAATAAGATATAAGACATGTAATAATAATATTAGATCGAAAACTGATGATATGACTTAAATCCAATAACTGAGATCAAGCTCTAAAAGAAAAACTAAAAGAAGAGGAATGAAAGGAGGAAATTGGAAAGAGAAAATACTTGAGAATAAGGAATATTAGGAATATGAATATAAAGTAGAATAGGAATGAGAATAGAAGAATAAGAAAAGAAAATAAGAAATAAGAATAGGAATAAAAAATAATAGTAAAAAAAAAAGACGTAATATTAGAAATATTAATAAAATAGAAATAGAAATAGGAATAGAAAGGAAAATAAAAATATTAAAATTAGAATCGTAAACAGGAATAGAAATAGGAAATAAGAAATAAAATGATAAAATAGAAATTGTGAATAGAAATAAGAATAGAATAGAAAATTAAGAAGAAATAAGAAGAACAATCTATGAATCTGTATAACTTTAGACAGTATAAAAATAGATAGATTTCTTTCTTGTAATCTTAATTTTTGATCACTCGAATATATTTTCATATACCAGAATAATGAATTAATAAAAATTATTATATATAATTTAGTACTTCAAAAAGAATAATAAGTTCACCCTAATTTTTAGTAATTATAAATAATAAAATTTGGAAATTATAAAATAATAAATAGAAAACATTTTTTAATAATATACTTACACTATGATTATATCATTAAAATCTTTTTGATATATTAAAGTTAATATCAGGAACTAACCTATTGTAATGTGAAAATAGAAACTTAATAATAAATTAAAAATAAAGGAAACTCTAACAAATTAAAGAAATTCTAAGAAATTAATATATTATAAAAATTTAGATTACTAAAAAATAATCAAACAGAAGGTCAGATAATAAAGAAAGCTAACAGAAGAGAATATTAATGATTAAGAGAACAGGAAGATTAGAAAATAGAACAAAATGAATAAATGAAAATTAAAAATGATAATAGAAAAGTTATATATTATTACTAATTAGAAAAGAACATAAAAATAAAGGAGAAAAAAAAGCTGAAGATTTGAATCCTACTGATAATAGTAAAATAATCGAATGGAAGGTCTAATAATAAGAAATTAATAAAAGGAAGAGGACAAAATAAAAATAATAAAAGTGAAATCGTAAGAAATTGGAGAAAGATGATAAGAAAGAATCAAATAAACTGAAATAAATAGAATAAATGAAAATTAGATTCTTGGATAAATAAAATAATTTGTAAAACAAATCCTTTTAAAGATAAGTAGCAGAAATAGTTCAGGAAAGTATAGCTTTTGTTGAAATTATCGAATTTATAAAATGTTATACATTTGTAAATCACAGATTTTGATGCTTACAATGTGTTAAAAGGTAAAACTAAATTTAAATATTAACACATCATTCTAATAATTTTTATGAATTCCATATTTAAATATTACATAAATAGATGATCTTATACTACAACAAATTTTATAATATACTAAAATATTATACTTTTTCCTATTTAAATTAGTATATAAAAACTTGTTATTTCAAACTCTCAATATAATGACCTAATATTACTGAATCAGACGATTCATTATAAAGAGTTCCGACTGTACAATAATTAGATATAATAAAAGGGTTGATTTTTTTAAGTTAAGTTGCAACACCGTTATGAATACTTAAAAATAAATAAAATTATATTATTTAATATTTTGTTTTATTTATTAATAGTTTAAATTATAAATTATAATACCTATTATAATTGCAACACTATCACTATCAAAATATCTCAATTTACCTATATCCAATTCTTTTTATTTTATAAAAAGTTTAATTATATTCATAATTCTATCTGCTGATGCATCTGTTACTTGTGTTATTCTAAGAAAACAAAAAGTACATTTTTCATTTACTAAATGCATTAAAACTAATACAATAGCTTTTTTGTAAAGTGCTATATTATGTTGTGTGATAATATATGTTATATATACATCTAATAATCAATGCTTGATTGCTATATATTTGATACATAAAATCTTCTTTAATACTTAATTGACTTAGATCTTTTGTATTTAATACTTTTGATATTTTTTTTTTGATTTTTTATGTCATTCAATACAATCTTCTTTTAGCCATTCTGGAACCAATAGTTATCTATATACTAGTATAACTTGTATTTTTACATGTTTTACAGAATAAAACTTCTTTTTCATTATTTTTTTTCATAATAAAGTCATGGGTATTTTAATATTTAGATTGGATTCCATTTAAGATTATCTTTATTTAAATGTATATATTTATTTTTATTTGTCTTTTTTTCAATACTTATATTATTTAGCTCTTCTTCACTATTAATTTCAATATCTTCAATATAATTATCATTTGTACTTTCATCATTTTGGTTTTTTCTTTTAATTATTCTTGTTTTTTTATTAATTTTAGGGTTATAGTCAAATAAGTATTTTGTAATATCAGCTATATTTATAAATGAAATTTTAAAAATAAAATGAAAGATTGCAAATTTTTTTATACATATTTATAAATTTTTTTACATATAATATACTACTATAAAAATTTTTTATACATAAAATTGTGTATAAAATTATGCAAATTATGTACTATATACATAAAATTATACACAAAATTATATATATTGTGCATTATATAAATTTTTAAATATAAAATTGTGCATAAAATTGTGCATACTAAAAAATCATATATATATGTGCACATTGTGTATATAAATTTTAAAAACTGATAAGGATTATTTGAATTGTTAAATAATTATATTATTTAAAATGAATGATAGAATAAAGTCAAATATAATAAAAATCTTCATTAATAATATAATTTTATATATTAAAATTGTATATAATAAATGATTTTAATAAAAGGCAAATTCTTTATTTATAAACATAAAATAGTGTAGTGATGATCAACATGTGATTCCAAGAATGCCACTGAGTTTATTATCCTACGTGATTTTTGGCCGAAATTATGGGTAAATTTATCCTGTTTTTGGGTATAAATTCTTATCCTTTACGTAACTATTTGTCTCATGATATTTACTTTAAAAAAAATTATTTATACGTAGGGTACAGGCTAAAAGTCTATACCCCAGGTACATTTTAAGGATGCCCCGGAATTATATAACTTGGCCGAAATTTAACATGTGACAAATAAGGTGACAAATAGGATTTTTCATACCGAAAAATTTTATTTGAGGTCACGTGAAATGCAAAAACTTGGGGGTGTAGACCTTTATCCTAAACCGGGGTGTATAAAATATATAAATAAGAGATTATTTTTTTTTAATTTTTTTTTTTACACTCACTTCGTTTACTATTTCTTTTTTTACAGGTTTATTTTATTTTATTTATTTTTATTCTATGGTTGAACCAATTTTTTAAAAATAAAATATGCCGAAATATTTTTTATTGAAAACTTATAATAAAAATGTAATGAATAAATAAATATTAAAATACTGTATTGTATTTAATAAGTTTGTTTTTGCTCAATAAATAATCATTTTTAACAAAAGAATAAATCATATGTTTTATTTAATAATAAATCTTCTAAAATGAAAAATAAAAGTTGCGAGAAATATTTTCTTCACTTTTCCTTTAAACTCTGCACTAAATACTGCAAAATTTGTATAAGTTGAGTATTTCTTCGTTATATTTTTCTTTGAAAACATCGCGAAAATTCTGATATATGTAACACAAAAAACTAATCAAATCTTATAGATCACCCCGGTTTAGGATAAAGGTCTACACACCCCCCCCACCTTACTGCGGTAAAGGCAGGCAGGTGACGCGTTGTAGTCCAAAGAAAGGCATTATTATTTATTAACATTCCAAAAAAAAAATTTATAACGGAATCAAACAGATCAGGATCGGACTGTTGTTACAAAGGAAAGCCAGGAATAGGAATTTGGCAATTTCTTTAACGGACGCGTTTAATTAAAAAATAACCAGTCACGTGATCCGCAATTGACAAGTAAATAATTTATTTATTTATCTTTGAATAAAATAAAGTGAAACTATTTTTAACTACAAAGGAATATTATTTTTCTTGCAATAGTCTATAGCTTGCGTATGTTTGCTATAAGCGGCTAATCTCATATATTTTGTACCTAATTCTGGATTCTTTTTACCATCACTACCACCACCAGAGAAATATAAAGTAGCAGCATTAAACATGCCAACGACTTGACCATTATCAGCGGATTTGGTAAAATATAACAAAGCTTCTTTTAAATCCCTTTTAACTCCCGCACCTTTAAATAAACAACCACCATAACGTAATTGAGCTTCAGGAAATTCATCGCCTGAATCTGCTGCTTCTTTATATAATTCTGCTACTAATTTATCTTTTGCCGCTTGGTCCAAATCAAGTTTAACTAATTTTTGTTGAATATAGTATCCTTTCATATATTTTGCTTTCACATCACCTAAATTTGCATATGCTTCAAAACACTTATAAGCTGAATCGCGGTTTCCTCCAGGAAGTTTATGTTGTTTCGCTGCTTCATCTACTGTCAGGTAATCAAATTCTGCAGAATTTGGAATGATCATTTCTTCATCATCTGAGAAAGTACAATTTTCAGAAGGTTCCGAATTAGTTGTCACAGGATGCATACGAGGTGATGGCGGCGGTTTACAAAGATCTTGTAGTGTGGTAAAGATCTTTGAAAATTGGGGTCGAAATTTATGATCGCAATGAACAGCTAGGATAGTAGTAAATTTATAGAAGGTTAGTATTAAATATAAAGGACAAATGTGTTCATTTTTAAAAAATAAATATATATTTTTAATACCTTTTTCTGCAAGTACTCGATAATCTTTTGGTACAGGGGAACCGAGAGAAAATTTTTCACGGTATTGTTTGATGCAAATTTGCTCTTGTATAACCATAATATCAGCACCAAATTTCTCATAAGGAATTTTTTCCTCGGCAATTTCCCAAAGAAGTATGCCAAAACTATAAACTTCACACTTGGTATCATATTTATACTTATTCCCATTTTTTAACTTTTCTGGAGCGCAATACCGTATAGCTTCTAGTGTTGCTTTTTGATTTCTTGTACTATCGGAAGTTGATCGACTCGATTTAAAATTTGCAATTTTGGCAACTTCATGAATTGTAATTAAGATATTCTCGGCTCTTATGTCTCGATGAACGATCTATTGAGACGAGTAATAATAAAAAATGGTTTAGGTTAACAATATATATCTATTAAAAAAAAAAAAAAAAAAAAAAAAAAAAAAAGGTTACCGAAACAGCGCTCAAGAAATTTAAGCCCTTAGAAACATCAAGAGCAAATCTTATTTTCAACTTAACTTCGAGTGGACCATATGTCGTATAATATTCACGTAAATTGCCATAATCAGCCCATTCTGTCACCAAGTAAAATTTATCACCATCTACAGTTAAACCAAAGTATTGAAGAATACAATCGCATTCTTTCAATTTTTTTAAAATTGTAACTTGATTTTTAATATTATTTTTATCATCTTTACTGCTATCTTTATCAGCCGTTAACTTTAATGCGACATAATAATTCAATCCATCTTTTCTTCTCTTATATTTTCTTACATTTTGATCTTCTTTGGGTTCATCAGCTTCTTCAAATTCATTAAATTTAAGTAATTCACTTTGAAATACATCTGGCTGATCTGACGAATTTTTCTGTGCCAATTGATTCACTGTAGCATTAAGTGTACTAATTTGCACGACTATTTCTGAAATATTTTGATTCACGTCAGTAATACCGCTGCCAATTTGTTCAAGATACTACATATAAAGACGTAAGAGATCTATAAAATAAGATTACACATGCGTTCAGAAAGTTCAAATTATATCATGCGTTACCTGAGTTAAATCTTCGATATCAGACTTAATATCTTTGTTGTCTTTGTCAATACGTGTGCTAAAGTCAACCATCAAAGAAAAGTGCAGAAGTCGTATAGTAGAATCAAATTCATTCATGAAGTCTTTAGCATTCTTTTCAATAGTTTTAGCCTGAATATACTTGTTTAACCCTTTTAATTGAGAAATTTCTTCAACAAATTTACAAATTCTGGCAATAACATGAACCAATTTCTGTAAATTAAATAAATTTTCATCCGAAAAAAATTGTATGTTATCTTCCCTACGGTTTTTTAAATTTCTTACGGCCGTATCAGCTACTTGGACTCTATCCAACATTATCCCACATATTTTTTTATTATGTTCAGCTGTTTGATATATTTCTATGATTTCATTGAATACTTTGGTTACTTCTGTTATAAGTGGTAAAAAACTTGCAAATGGTATTACCACGTTGGAAACGGCTTCTATTGCACCAAGAGTTGCTGCTGTCGTGTTAATAGTAGTTTCTACGATTTTATCAGAATTATCACCAATACTATTCAAGGTCTTAGCTAATTTAGTTCTTGGTTTTTTAGAACCATCATCTGGTGCTTCAGCACCATCAGCTGGATGATTCGCAGACATAAATTAAATATATAAAACTTTTTTAATTTTTAATGTGGAGAAAAAAAAAAAAAGATTGCTTAAATAAATATTTTGGAGATGAAACTCCATTAGGTTTCATTAGAAACATTAAAAATGGAAAGTTTCACAACACAAAAATAAAATTGCTAAATAATGTTACAAAACAGTTTTAATTATGACTTTTTTTTTTTTTGAATAATTTGAACAATATCTCAAAAAAAAAAGAAAAATGGTGCATCTACCTGAGATTGATTAAAATTTTTAATATTATCACCTTTCATTTAAAAAATGCTAATCTTATACGGATAATCGTAAATGGATTTCGGAGAAGTTCATTTCTATGATATTTCTTCCGGGGTGTCATAACCTCTATGTATCTATGCATTAGTTTTAGCAAAATGACTATGAAAGAAATGTCGGTCATCCGGAAATTATCCAGAATATTGCAACAACTCGGTGTTTTGCAGATTTTGGAAGACCCGATATTTCTTGGACGTTTACATTTTCTGAACGTTCTTTTTTTATATAAGGCTATGATCACTAAAATAAAAAGTTTTTTTTTTATATTTTAATAGTGATATACAAATATGTTTAATAACTATTATGTTTCCCGATTACTAACGCCCGTGATAAGAAAAATCACATGAATTATGTGATTCTCATGTTATGACGTAAAAATAGTGTTATTTACATCATAAATAATTTTTTTTATAAATTTTTTTTTAATTTTCTCAAAAATGAAATCAAAGAAGACCGTAAAATTTAATACTGCTCATGAACTTTTAAACAATCCAAGTTTACAACCCAAAACATACAAAAATACTGACATCGAAAAGGCAATTTTATTTTATCAAAACAAGTCACGAGTTCAAAATACAGAAAGGGCAACAAAAAACTGGCTTGAACTCTTTGAAAAATTTCGAAAAAATATGATTGAATCTTATCCACGAGATGATCAATACAAGATTCCATTGAATCTTATTTCAGATATATCTATATTAGAAAATCAGGTGGCAGGTTTTTTGCTACTATGAAAAAAAAAAGATGGAATTGAATATAGAGCATTATCAATAAGACAAGCTGTTGATGGGATTAATCAATATTTAATAGAATTTTCAACTATTCATGAAATCAATTTATGTGATCATCATCAATTTCCTATATTAACAAAAGTTTTTGATGGTAAAATGAAAGAATTACAAGATAAAGGATTTGGAAAAATAAAAGGATCTGCTGCTTTAATTTGACAAAACATTGCAAATATTTTATCAAATCCAGCAACATCAACATTAACTTCTGATATAATCATTAAAAGAATATTTTTTCATAATGCCCTTCTTTAGCTTACCAAGGTGGTGAGTATTATCAGTTAACAGTTAATTAATTTAATTTTCAAGATGATGGTGAAATTGATTTTCAAAGATTTCGTGTAAAAAATAATCAAAGAGGAATAACAGGAGGCATAGCACAAAAGATTCCGATTCCAGCTGGTTCATTTAATTCTCAAGGATCATGTTATGATTATCAATTATATTTTAAAAAGATCATTATATGTAGATTTAAATTTTTATTTACAAATAGATTCAAAATGTAAGTTAATTATATTTATTTTATAACAATTTTATAAATTTTATAAACTTATTATTTATTAGGAAAAGAAACTGGAAACTGGTATTGTAAGCAATATATTGGTAAGAATTTACTATCTAAATTTATGAAGGATCTTATTCATGAAACTGGTATTGAAATTGATGGCTTATTAATTAATCATTTTAGGCAAAAAACATTAGTATAACTAATGCAAGATATAAATGTAGAAAAAACAAATTATTATGAATATTATTGGACATTGAAGTGTTAATGTAATACAAAAATATAAAGTGTCAAATGATCAACAAAAATGAATATCTTGCAGTAACTTATTTCTACTTATAATATAAAGAATCAAGAATCTCAAAATCAAGTTTAAAATATTAATCAAGAAATTTATAAACTTGTGTAACAAATTCAAAATTACAATAAGAAATCATTACAAACTTCTTAAATTACAAATCTTGAATCATAATATTTACCAATTAATATATCTTTCAATAATAGTAATAAAGAAAAGGTTTTGAAGTTTAATAATTGTCACTTTTAAAATGTTAACTTTTATTTTAAATAATTTTTATTTATAATTATAAATAATGCTTGTATTAATATAATATTTTTAAATACTTTTTAAATATCAATCTTATTAAAATTATATTAAACTTTTTGCAGTATAATTTTCATTTGATAATTACGTCATATTGATATTTTTACAGAAATTTCATCTTTGATAATGAATCTGATAAAATATCAATATGAAACATCATGAGCAAACAATTAGTAAGCGGGTAATATATTTTATTATTTTCCATTTACTAATTATTTGCTTATAATACTATATATTGATATTTTATTGGGTTTATTATCAGAGTTGAATTTTTCAGGAAATATCAATATTATTCAGTGGAAATGTCATACAATTGATAAGGAGTTTTTTGTACTATGATATCATAATAAAAATTTTTAGCGTAATATTATCTTTAGGTGAATATTACAAGCAATCTTAATATATATTGAGGGTGTATGATTATTAATATAATATTCATAGACAATGATTAGAATTATTGTAAAGCAGATAATTCTAATAAAAATTTTTAGCGATTATTTACAAATAAAATATTTTAAATTGGAAGTTCCTAAATTAAAATAAATTTGTATTACGATATGATTTTAATTTTACATAATATATGATAAAATTATTCTTCGCAAATCTTTTTATTTTATTTTTATTTATTTGTAAAATATATAAATAATAATGTCTAATACTTTAACGAGTCTAATAGTGAAAGCAATATATTTAATATCTTTGAAAACTAAAGTGATACTTTTAAGGATTATAATTCATTTGAATTATTTATAAAGAATTATTCAAAAAATAAAAGTTTGAAGTAAGACTTGATACTGCAAAATATGATAAAATAATAAAAAAAATAAGGTAAAGAGAAATAGTTTGTTTAAGGAATGGTCTTTCAAAAAAAAAAAATCACAGCAAATGAAACAAAATACAAACTCTAGAAATAGGTCATCACAAAAGATGCAACTGCTTGTTTTTCATTTATGAAATTAAATCTAAAAATAATGGCTTATAGGTTGCAATTAAAATTAATCTAACACATAATCATGAACTTGTTTCTTCATCATTGAGAAAATTCATGCTGGATAATTGAGAAATACCCAATTATATTAAGAATAAAATATTTGATTTACATATGGTTGGAATTGATATAGCCAGAATCTGAGATATTATACAGTATGATCAACCTAATAAAACTTATCTTTATAATAATATTTATAATTTTGTTTACAATAATAATAATAATTCAACAAAGCAAAAAGTATTTAATGCATAAAATTTTATTAATAACATAAAGTAAAAAATAATAAATTTGCATATATTGTCAAAATTAATAGTTTGAATCTGCAATTTAGTTATTTCTAAAGCAGAAAATTAATTACTCAAGATTTTCAAATGTTGTTGTTTTTGATAATACATATCATATTAATAGGTTTGATTTGCCTTTTGAAATATTATAGATGTGAATAATTATGGGTAAAGTGTCTGCTTTGCTAATGCATTAATGAAAAATGAAATTACAGAATATTTTATGACTTTTTATAGTTTTTTAGAATTAGTCAATTATCAAGCACTAAATGTTTTACTAATAGATAATGATAGTATTATGGAATCTGTATTTAATGTTACATTCAAAAATTTTGAAATTAAATACTGCTTATACCAATGGCATTTAATTAAAAATATTACAATTAATCTAATATCAAAACTTGATTCAAATTGACAATCATTTTTTAAAAACTTTATAACTGTTTATATAAAATAGAAGAAATAATTTAAATGTAGTGTAGGATTCTTTGAAACTAAAATTTTCAGAAGCAGTACTTTATTTAAAAATATTAGAAAAATATAAGGAGAAGTGGACAATATGTTCAATCAAATGTATTTATATGATGCAGATCATCTAAAAGTTAAATAGTTTGAATTTTTTTTCACTAATCATAAATATATCATGTGATCTTTATCTAATTAAAACAAGTATGTAATTAAAATTACATGTGATTTGATATCAAAATTATTAATTTATTGATTATAGTTTAATTTATTAATCATGAAGCAAAAGAAAACTTTTAAAATTAAAAAAATATTATTATTTAATTTATTTTATTTAATTTTTCTAATACATTTTCAGAAATTTTTCTGTGTGATTATATTTCTTAACAGCATATTCTGCTAATTTATCTGTAATTACATGCCTATATAGATCCATATATCGCTATGTCTTTCTTGCAAATCTACGAATAGTTATTAAATCTTTAGAATTTAAAATACAAGAGACTATTTCTTGTAATTCACTCTATGTATAATTATAATTATTTCATATATATCATTTGGTTGCTTCCTAATAACATTCACAATAAAATTTTAAAAAAATACATAAATGTGACCAACATTTTCAATTGTTTCAACTAATGTAGATTTTTGAGCTAAAAAATCTGATTAAAGAGATATGATCTATCTTTCACAACAATCTACATATAAAGGATCATTAATTTTACTTTTACAAAATTTGCATTCTCCTATTATATTTTTTTTTCATAATCCTTATTCAATTAAAACTTGCTTTATACCTTTTGGCTGATCATCAGAAGAATTTATACTTTGTCTTTTATTATTTAAATCCCAAAAAGTATCATATATCTTTAATGCATTTTCACTAGGTTCAATATTTATCTTCTTTGCAACCAATGCATCAGAAGCAAATACAGAATGATTTGAACTATTGTTAAAAGCAAATATTCTAACACAATTTGAAAATAAGGTTTTAAATATAGGAATGACTTAATATTCAACTTGTTCAATAAGGTGTTCAGCTGTCTAATATCCTTCATCATTCTTTTCTAACTTTAAATATACTCATATTTTTTCTGAAACATCAGGATAGCTCTCAATTTGTTCAACAGTTAGTTTAAATTTTTCACAAGCTTCAGTTAAAAACTTACTTATTATAATTAATTTTTTATTACCTTTTTTGCATAATGGTAATTCATCTGACTTAGCCTATATTTCACATTTTCCATTATTTGAGTAAAAAATGCATTTATCATGGACTATTAATATATGTTCTTTTTATTTTGAAGTTAATAAAAGACTAACTTTCTCCATATTATCTCCTTTATATATTATCATATATTTTCTAGTTAAACCATTTTTGATAAAAACACTTTTTGATATTTTACAACATCTTCTCTCTTATGCTCATCATAATATATTTTTTGTTTTTATTATTGATAATAGTATTCAAGCACATTAAACCATCTTCTTGCAATACTTATACTAATTATATTCTTATTAATACCAATTTTCAGTAATAATATATTTTAAACAAATTCTTTAAATTGATGTGAAGTTATATGACTTTCATTTTTTTTTAATTTACTTATAACATATTTCAGCAATATCTTTATCATCAATAATTCTGCTAACCTTCTGATTATTTTCCTGATAAAATAGAAGCAGAACTATAGATGAGAGACAAAATCCTTTAATAACAGTCAAAATTTAAACAAAACTATATTAAAATCATAATAAGGAATATGACAAAACTCATTTAATATGATAAAACTGAAACTGTTAAAACTATATTAAAAGCATAGAAAAGGATATAACGAAATTATTTTGAGGAGGTTTAGACAGGCATCTATAGGTAGAACATTATTAATACACTAATATTTTGCTGTATGCTAAATCCAAGTAGCCTTTGATTTGCTATTATTATTGTATATCATATTTATCACATCCATACTTACCTTCATTTTCTTTTCTTTATTAAACAAATATATAAAATATTTAAATACAGCCCTTTTTTTAATTAGAATTCTGAAAATGACTTGCATAAACTCACATATTTGACTCGCATAATTGTGTATAATTGTAAATTTTAGTTATACATAATAAATAAGTACTTTAAATTAAAGATATGTAGGATAATTTTGACTTGAAACTTGACTTAACTTGACTCATTAGGAATACTATTCTTAATATACTCTTTTGTTAATATTCCATTAAAATTTCCTTTGAATCTTTCTCTAAATTTAAAATCATATATTTTATTGGCTAGATAAATATGAAGGTTTCTTCTTT